ACTGCTTTTGGCATGGGTATAAACAAACCGAGTGTGAGAGTGGTAATGTTTCACTCCTTCCCTTCATGCATGGAGGACCTTTTCCAGGCCTGGGGTCGTGCTGGCCGTGATGGACTTCCTGCCAAATGCTATTTGTATTTTTCATTTGGAGACAGAGTTTTCCACGTAAGAAACAGTTTTGATCAGCACAATTTTGATTCAAAAAGGCAAACATCCTCTCTTTTACGGTTTCAAAGGGTCTTAGATTTTGTGATGTTTAAGGAATGTAGACGGAAAAAATTAATACATATAAACATATTTCAACCCAGAAGAAGCTGGTTTGGCTCTATGTGATGACTGTGATATTTGCAAAGATTCTGTTTCAAATACACGTCTTACTAACGACTACACACCACAAATTACCAGAATAATTGAGTTTGTTCAGGTTGTAGAAAGGCCCATCACTATTAAGTACTTGGCTCAAGTTGCATCTGGAAAAATGAATAAGAAAATTAGCGAAAATAGAGATGAACACTCTTCAATTTTTTCAAGTTTCAAGTGTACTGTTAATGCATGTGAACTTTTCTTGCGACACGCTGTGACAAAGGACATACTAAGAGAGGTGCCACCTGCACATGGAGTGAACAATCGTTCCTACTTGCCGCTGAAACTTGGAAGCCAGTACTTACAGTATGTTAGTGGACAGACCAAGTTAATGTACCATTCCTTGTAAGGCTTACAGGTTGGTGCCTGCATTACTGTCTCAACTGCTGATCCTTAAATTACTGTTCACCGTTGACACCCCAACACCTCCAATTGGTTATTGTCTGAATTAAATGGTCACAGCTAGAGTTTAAGGCTAATTTGTCATCACTTACAGGCCAAACTAAAATTCAAATTACAGTGTAAGGCTATGAGACAAAGAATCAACCTACGTTAAAATATTTTTACCTGAATAATTATAATTTTGGCCTGTATCACTTAATGTATGGTAGAGGTAATTGGTCAACTAAGCTTTGTCTGTTAAGTATAATAACCAACATGCCTGAGTATTTTCACTCAGTAGCTTTCTATACTCTATGCCTTTAGCATTGTTTTTACCTAGGAATACATGTAGTTCATGTGAGGGAAACTTCAATTATCAGTTACAAAGTGTAAGGCTGTAGTAGGGAAAAGTCTGCATTTCATCTCGTTAAAATGTTTTTTGAACAGCTCTACTCCCCGCAACTGTACATTCTGGCAGTCTTTGCGTAACTTCTGTTTCACTGATGGCAACTCCTTCTTGTTTCTTGGGTAGGTGGGAACTTCCTTCCTTGGTCTTGTAGCCTTTCCAGCATTGTAAACCAAAATGAGCTTAAAATAGGCATTCAACTCGGTGATGACATCGTAATGGGCATCATCGGCCAGGAGGAGTTGCTGTTTGGCAGGAGGTCCACAATGCACCATGGCATTGCCGTGATCGGCGGACACCACCAACACTTGATAGGGGGTGTGCATGATCTCGAATTGACGAATCTAGGGAAGACTGCGGGACTTTCGTGGACTTAAGCCAATCCTTTTTCTCTTGGAAGACAGTCCCAGCCTTCGTGGATTTGTAGTCGAGTAATTTTTCGTTACTTTGAACTTTTTCTTGGTGCGCCCGCACCGTCACTTCCAACTGCTTGTTTCATAGTTACCTTTGTTTGCATTCAATGATGTTAGACAGTAATGTTTAAAGGCCCAGTTCTTATGCTGTATAGAATAGATAAAGGATGCAAACTACTCGTTATTCACCACATTGGCAGGTCCACCATGAACAGTACCTTGGTCTAGGCTGAAAGGCCTTTCACAGACTCAGTGACCATGGCACATGATGGCTTTTTGCGAAACATCCAGTTTAATGATAAAGTGACGTGTTTTTCCCACAAAACCCTCTAAAAAAATGAAACTACTCTTTACATTACATTGGGAAGCACAACTAAATTGCATAAGAAGCCAAACAAATCCCGAGTTTCTCTTGTTTAAGGAGACAAACCTTTGTGTCAATTTTAAAATGTCACGGACTAAATTCCTTGCTAGAGAAACAAATCTTTGCTTTAAGCTGAAGTGATCCTTTAATAATAAGAATGTGATCGATGTCACCTTGTGCTTAATAGACCATTCCCGCATTCGTCACAAGCACGCGCGCGAAAACATGAAAGTGAGGCTCGGGTGGACAAACATCAAACATGGCGGACAACACCGAGAAGCCTAAGGCGCAAACTGCGAAAGATATCCCGTGGTGTAAGTCTCTTAAAAGCTTGCCAGTGTTTACAAGGAAAGAGATAGATGAACACCGGAACAATAGTGGCAAACGAAAGGCTGACGACGTTTCGAAGCCTATTAAAAAAACCCTGAAGCGCGGCTTAAAATTTCAAGAAGAACGGTATCTTTCATCAGACACAGTGTATACGAAGGTATTTGGTAACTCGTTTATGGTAAAAGCAAAGTGTCGTGCCAGCATGAGTACTCGAGAAATTCACGAACTAGAAGTTTCACTCGATGTAACATCTGGGAATGTACGGGAAGCACACTGTACTTGCAGAGCTGGCAAAAGTGGATACTGTAATCATGTGATGAGTCTTTTACTTGAACTCGCTCGTTACTCTTTGGAAGACTTTGACAGGATACCCGAGGAAGCAGCATGTACAAGTATGTCAAGGAAATGGGGTATTCCAGGTAAAGTATAAATTGATTTCAATTAGCTGTAAGTACCTACCTGTACTTTTGGGCAGCTCACGCAAGTAGTTAACATGTTCGGTTTTCGTCTGCTAGCAGAAGAATTAAACTGATAATAGCATAGGTCATGCTGAAGCACGTCTTGATAAAGTTGTATGATGTGTCTGAAAGTTTTGAAGTGACTTAAGCATTATTCACATAGTGATCAAACTTTTTTCTGTTCTTGTTCTAAGGTGAGAAAGGTCTACCTAAAGAACCCATAATGAAGACATCAGTTCAAAAGGAGTTAACGAACAAGGGAATAAAACCAACTCTGTATGATCCAAGAGTCAAGGAAAGAAAAAGATTAGACATCCGTGGAGTTCAAGTAATGCAAAAGGAATTGGAATCAATTCATCCTCTTATTGGTTTTTCCCATGTCATCCCAAAAAAGCCTGAATTGCTGACTAATATAGACACCAGGTATGGACCAGTGGTCATTGGATCTCCCCTCTCTTTTCATTTAAGTTCTTTGGAGTTCAATTTCACTGTTGTCACTAACCTGGAACCGGCAGTTAACCCTGCTCAAGCAGATTCAAGTGACATTTACAAAGTAAGCTTGCCATTCCATTTCCCAGATTTACCTGAAGCTGTTCATTTCAGTACTGTGCAACAAACATTCATTGAACACTTAAGAGTAACTCACCAAGAAAGTATTGATATTGAGAAAAGGACTGGTAAGCAAAGGGAATGTGATGAGTGGATAAAACACCGCAAAAATAGACTTGGATCATCTGTGTGTCACAGAATATATGTAAGGAAACGAAGTTTCAATAATCTTGCCAAGGAACTTAACCAGCCATTTAAGCCTCTAGATGAAATTCCAGCAATTCAGCAGAGAAAGCTAAAGCATGGCATAAAATTTGAGCCAGTTGCAAGAGAAAAATATTATGATGTCATGAAGCACTATTTGAAGAGGCCAATTACCTTGAGAGAGACAGGAATGGTGATTCCCCCTTGCATGTTTTGGCTTGAAGGCAGTCCTGATGGTCTTGTTATTGATCCATGTTCCTTATCTGAGAAGATAGGGACAATTGAAATGAAATGTCCAGAGGGAAAGAAGAACCACACCCCAGAGGAGGCGATGCAAGATGAATCGTTTTACATTGAATTAGTTGATGGTAAACCCAACCTGAAGAAAGATCATCACCTAGGATATTACACCCAAGTCCAGCTAGTTATGGGTTTCTGTGGTTTAGAGTGGGTTGACTTTGTAGTCTATCTATTTAAAGGGATGATCATCACAAGGGTTCCATTTAATAAAGATTATTTTGACCAAGTAGTATGTAAAGTAAACATCTTCTATGTAAAGTGGTTTCTTCCTCAGGTCATGGCCTAAATGCAGTTTAGTATATTGTGCATTGTGCCTGAGCAAACGGTGACATTACAACGTGTACCAGTTTTCCATAGTATCTAGCTTTTAGACTAAGGTTGATGGGTGTTAGGGCTTCAAGGATAAGGTTACTTTGCTCGTTGCAATGTTATTACAGTACAGTAAAAACCCACGTATAAGAACCTAAAATTTAAGAACCTGTTAGGCTAAAATGTTTATTTTAAACCCCCTTTTCATAATAACCTATTTAGCCTAAAATTTTCAATAGGTTAATATTTTACAAAAATGAAACAGATGAAAATACGGAGAAAAACTTTTAGTCTAGGTTTCAGTCAGTAAGATTCAAACAATGAACTAAAATGAAAACCATATCATGTCTTTGCCAATACTGGATTACACAATGCAATATTATTATTAAGAATACAGATCTCTCTCATATGCCCAAGAGTAGTTATCTGTGCTGATCACTAGTACCCCTATCAAAATTAAGAGCCTGTTTAAGAACCTAAGTAGCCCAGAATCCCACAAAATACCATTTCTATAAGAACCTATTTAGGCTAAGTTGGAAAAATCTAGGTTCTTGTGTGCATATTTTTACTGTATTTTATTGACAATATACGAGGAGTATTTCATAGAATTCTTAAAAAAGATGACTTCCATGACAAGAATATTAAAAGTATTACATGTTCAGCAATTACTTAACAATTTCTGTTCAATTTCTATGAGAGCAATGATTTGCGCAATAATCTCAAGAAAGGTACTGTTTGAAAATCGTGGAAATTCAATTATTGCAAAATATCAATTATTCTGAAAGGGAAAGTGTTTTCATTGACAAAAGAAATGTTAGTCTTGAAAAAGCGAAAATTCAGCTTCGGTATTTATTCATAAACCAACTTGATCCTTGTAAATTATTGGGCACTTTGAAGGAAATGATGATAAAACCATAACATTA